ACTGCAATAAGTATTTTTTAAGTCAAACTAGTTGGAATTGTGAATGCTTAAGATTATAAATGTACTTATCTACTTGGTATGCACAATTCAAAGGTACTAACTTCTAAGAATCAGCAAAACTTGCCTTTTGAAAGCAAGATCCACTGCTAAGAAGCAGACAATAAACGCAGGAGTGTCCCCATTCTAAGAGGGAAAACAATTACTCTGTTTTATTTTAATAGACACCAAATAGTTTTCTCCCCTTAGAGTAGTTCTAATGTTGCATGATTGGTAAGATAAGAAATACTTTCACAGCCTCGGAGGGCTGCTATAGCAGCAATGTGGGTGTTTCCAAATGTTTTGCTAAATGTAGACAGGTAACAGTGCAGTTCAGATGGGGCTAGAAATACCCACTTCTGCATTTATCATCAGCACCTTCCTGGATGAATTGGGGTGAAACAATTCTGTTTGTTTGTTTGGATGTTTTTTTGTACCCCTTGTGCACAGGGGAGAAAACTGAAAGGGGGAAGATCCCATATACTTAAGTAGTAAATCATGTAGCTTGTTGCACAAAAGTATTAAGACACAGCAAGTTTAGTTCTCAGTTTTCCTGTTAAAATACCAGTAGCTATTTAATATAAGGAAAGAAAGGTGAAGGAAAGAAAAAAAAAAAAACCTGAGTTCTTACTACTTGCCTTTGCCTCCAGCTCTTCATACAGGGCATAGTTGATCCAGAGGTAGATGTACCTCTTCCAGTGCCTCTTCTCCTGGATGGGGGGCACGTTGGCGATGGCTCTCTCGTACACCTCCCGCACGGTCGCGGCGTCGGCGTCGCTTTCAACCAGCCTCAGGTAGTCGAACCACGCGTCGTAATTATGGGGGTTTGCCTTCCAGGAAGGGGGGAGAGGGAAACAGGCAGGAAGCTTCAGTCACTACAAATAACAGACCCTATTCCTTCCCCTAAGTTTTAGTCAGAATTTCTCCTTTCCAATAGGTCACTAGAGGATTAATGAACCACTGTCAGTCTTGGGGATGCTTGCACAGGAGCTTCTGGGTTAAAGTGAGCTTGGTTTTTATTTTGCCTACAAGCATTTTCTAAATGAAGTGTGAGAAGGGATGAGGGCATGGTGAAATGTGCAGGGTTCAGTGAACAGCAGACAGGAGTGGCACAGCTGTTTCCTCACAAAAAGGTACTTGGACACAGGAGAGGTGTCCTGTAACGGTTACCCCCTAACTGGAGCAGTAAGTTACAAGCTCAGCTGCATTATGCCCTAAGGTCACTGCAAAGGGCACCAAGCTCTGAGTTCAATCAGAAACTTTGTCTGGATTAGAAAGCAGAAACAAACAAGCAGTGAATGCAAATATCATTCTCTTCTGCACAGATAGAATTCTGCCTCCAAAATGAACACTGTCCTGGTGTTCTCTTGTTATTTTCTTTGACTATCAAGGATAATGTAAAACTCATCAGCCTTCATATCCCAAGACACTGCTGTACCTTAAGCAGCAGCTGGATGCACAATGAGCCTGGAGGCTACCTGTAATACATACCTTCACCTCCTCTTCATACTGGAATCTCCTCTTGCTGACAATGATGTCTTCAATTCCCCTCCTGTCTCCAAACTTCTTCTCAAAAATGGTGTAATTCTTGAAGAGATTCTGGGCATCCTGCTTTGGAATTCTATCCAAGGCGTACTTGTAGATCACCCTTACTCTTTCAAACTGAAAACATTAAATATCATTTGAATAATATTTATAAGGCAGTTTCGGTCCTACCCCACAGTTTCTTCATGAGCTTTTGGCAATATTTAATAGACTACAGAATCATGGAACATCTCTACGTAAATGACTATTTTAGAACAGGACTAACGCAGATCTCCCTAAAGAGTAAACTTTGAGTGGGAGGGAAATCTGTAAATGTCAGCCACCACCATCTCTTGTTCATTTACAGGTTTAGAATATGTAAACCATATTTAAGAGGTGTGGTTTTGGGTTCACAGGATGTTTTCAATTCCTTGCCATACTGGGAACTTAACAGCGGCTGTCAGAGGAGAAACATTCAGGCCAGTTGAGTTTTTTATCCTGCAGGCCTACAACCTCTCAGAACCTCACAGATCTAGGATACATGCTTGGTCTGACGCTGCTGCTCTCAGGCTTGGCAGCTCTAACACCCACCTTGCTTACAGCACACCTCCCTGATGTCACCAAAAAGCACCTGGAGGTAAGCAAAACAACTGTCTCCTTAACCCAGACTAACAGCGTATCATAAGGTGATGGAAACCACAAGCACTGCAGTTAAATGGCTTGGGGGCTCGACGTTCAAAGAGAGATCTGGGCGTCAGTCTGATGTATTACCAAGAGGAGCTTACTTCTTTCTGGTTCTCCTCAAACTTGGCGAAAGCCACGTACAAGTGCTCGTCCATGTGCTCCTCCCCGAAGAACTCCACCGCCCTCTCGTACACCTTCCTGGCGTGGGCGAAGTAGCTGTGCTTCTCCTCGAAGCGCGCGTACTTGATCCAGTTCTTCACCTCGGGGTGCACGAGGACAAGTGCGGCTGGGCTAAGGAAACGGGGCTGGCTCAACGGGCCCTCTCCAGCTCTGCTCTCCCCAGGGACTGCACCAAACCGCTCCCCAGGTGGGTTTATGCAAGAAAATTAGGACACTTGAGAGCTCTGAGCGTGGAAAGGATCAGCACCTTACTGAGAACTTGAAGGGGGATAAAAATCAGATCAAGGGTAGGGAGAAGTTAGAGGAGAAATCTGAAACAAATGACTGCAAAAGAAGCTGGGTACGTGAGCGAAAGTAAATATAGGTGTTGTGGCAGGACTTACAGCCACTTCACTGGATTTGATGGTTTTCCCCAAACACTTAATACCTACTGCTGGCTCTCGGTGTGGTGGCTCATGCTCAGCACCCCACAGTGAAAAGGAGCACAGAGATATTGCCAGAGATGGAATAACTTAAGCGCAGGCCTGGACCTGGGCAGGTGTCCCAAGGCACAGAAAAGGATATATCTCTCATAAATGCTTCGTGCCCTGTCCACCTCCTTGTATCTCAGCTCGAAGTTGATGTAGGAATGCCAAGCTTGCTCCTCCGGTTGCCACTCCATCCAGCGTTCAAACACCTGACGTGACCCAGCAACGTTGCCCAGCATCTCTTCCATGTAAGTGTACTTGTACCTTGGGAAAGAAGACAGAGTCTCTACAACTGCCTAGTGAACACAGCAACTGAAGGATTTTTGGAGTGCTTTGCAGCAGCACCACGGAGGTTTCTTCATCTATCCCCCTCCACCCCAGAAATGCCCATAGACACGGTTGTGACTGGCAGCAGGCAAGCACATGAACATCCTTCTCCCCCGGTGCTCTTGCCACTTAAATACAAAACCACTCCAAAACTTCAGCCTTCCTCTTTTTTTTTCAGACTAGCCTGAAGACTTGAAGAAGCAGGAACCAGAGCAGACAAATGACGTGCAGCCTCTGGAGGCAGCAGAGCTGCTGCGGGCTCTCCAACATACCAGAACTGGTTGACCCTGGGCAGGGTGGTGATGGCCCGGTCCCAGATGTTGCGGGCGTGGTTGACCTGGCGGTTCTTCATCTCCATCTCGGCGTACTTGAGCCATAGCGTGACGTTCCGGTAGTCCACGTCCAGGGCGCGCTCGTAGATGGACCGGGCTCTGCAAAACACAAGCATGCTGCAGGTACGTGCCCCCAGGGCTTGGGTGTTTGGCAACATGTGCCTAAAAAGGCTTATGGGAACTGCCTGCAGCTGCATCCTGGTTACCTCTGGATCTCCTTCAGGCTCTCCTCCCATTGTGCGTACTTGATCCAGTTACTGATGACAGTCCTGTTCTTTCTTATGTTGTCTTCAAAAGTCTGGGGAGAGAATTGTACCTGTGAGTAACAAATCCTTCTGCAGACCAGTATTATAAATGCCTTACGGGGTGTTATTATTATGGGAATGAATGTCCAGTGTCTTACACCTATGCCGGAGTGGTAACGAATCATACTGAATACAGCACTGTAAAAACTGCTTGGCAAAGCTGGAAATGTCAAACTACAGATTAGGACTAAACTTGAGTTCCTGCAACCCAATACCTGAGCTACTCAAGCAGCCAACTGAACCAGGACTAGTGTAGAAAGCTTGGTGGTGTCTCATGCTGCCCAGCCAGCTGCTGGTGCAGGAAATGCCTGTAAGCCGTGGATGTAAGTAACCTTTTAGTGTTCCAAACATGGGCACAGAGGAGATGTCTGCTACCGAATGCCATGATAACACAGGTTTAACTTACAGGATTTGCGCATGAGTAGCATGAAGCAGTTATGGTATCTAAAGAATGGGTACTTGTCTGGAAAGTCCACAAGGAATACAAACTACATCTTGTTTAAGTTAAAAATAGTAGAGTTTTAGTGCTTTACATGAGGGTCGAGATCAGCTTTGGTTTTTTACCATACCTTCCTTTTCCGGAGTTTATAATCATTTAGCTCTTCAACATCTGTGATCTTCTGCTGCGGAGGCGGTGGGAGAAGCTCGAGCTCCCTCTCCTTGGCCTCTCTCAGAAGCTGCTCCGCTGTGATCTGAACCTCGGCGGGAGCTTTATTTTTCACCTGCAAGGTAAGCGGAAGGAGCGCTCGGTTCACATTTCCCTACGCGAACCCGCCGAGTTCCCCGTTGCCGGTTTCCTCCGGCGCCTCGCCGGGCGCGGTGCTTGCCGACGGTGGCACCAGGGACCCCAGCCCCGCCCCAGCCCGCTGGCGGGCGGCTCGGTGCGGAGCGGCAGGCCCGGGGGGCTGGGGGGGTGCCGCGCCCACCCACCTTCGCCACTTTGGGGATGCGCTGCTTCCCGGCCGCCGTAGACGCCATCTTGCCGCCGCGCCGCGCGCCGGCCACGCCCCGCAACCCCTGACCTCACGTAGGGCCGCCCGAGCGTCGTTGCCGCGGCAACCGGCAGAGCGTCCCGGGGCGGTGGGCGGTCCCCGGGTCCTCCCGTGGGTCCATCTGTTCCCGGTGCTCGGTTTGTGCGTGTGTCCGCTCCGGGCACGGGGCAGGTGAGTGCCGGCAGGAGGGTCTCGCGCCCGGGGCGGGCGGCGCTCGCGCCCGGGGCGGGCGGCGCTCGCGCCTGAGGGGGAGCGCTCGCGCCTGAGGGGGAGCGCTCGCGCCTGAGGGGGAGCGCTCGCGCCTGAGGGGGAGCGCTCGCGCCTGAGGGGGAGCGCTCGCGCCTGAGGGGGAGCGCTCGCGCCTGAGGGGGAGCGCTCGCGCCTGAGGGGGAGCGCTCGCGCCTGAGGGGGAGCGCTCGCGCCTGAGGGGGATCCCGGTTCGCCGCCGAGTCCCCGGAGCGGGGCCGTGCCGGTGTCCGTCCACCGCCCGCGGTACCCACCGGGTGCTCGCTCCGCCCGCTGCCGGGCGTGTCCCGGGGGCGGGACCGCTCCGTCCCGGAGCCGGGCGCCCCATCCCTCCCTGACGATCCCGGGTGTCCCGCAGCAGCCGCCGGAGGTCCCGAGTCTCGCAGCATCATCCCTGCTCGCCCAGCCGAGGTAAGTGCGCGTTCGGTGCATTTTGAGGCAGAAAGAGCAGAAACGGGGCTCAGGGGTGTCCCGGTGTTCGAGCGGTGTCCGAGCGGGCGGGGCAGTGCAGGGCTTGCTGTGGGAACAGTACTTTTCCTCGTGGAAACGCTACCTTTTTACTGTCTAAGTGCTGCTTTCCGTCACTCAGGGCTTGCGTGAACGTTCGGGGGAGCTCGCGTTGAAGGGGGTGGTATCTTTTTCAATGCATTGAGTTAAACGACTGAATATGTGAGCGCGGTGAACTGTTTTCCTGAGTTGAGATGATCTTAGTGCTATATTTCAGTTCATTAATGACATTTTAAAAAGCTCTGGTATGTTTTTATATGTGGAATTGGCACCATATGTGCAGACGATGTCTTGCTTCAGGTTGTTTCCAGGACCTCTTTACAAATGTATATTGGTGTGACTGGGACCTGTGCTGACACCTAAATGTCTTGTTTGTCTGTGGAAGATGTAGCAGTGCGTGTGACTTTCTGTGTATGAAAGTCAGGATTTCTTTTGTTACTCCGTTTCAGAGGGGATCTGTGGTGCCTCAGAATTGGGCATCATGCCTGGGTTTGGAGCCACTGTTAGAACTGGCTCTTGTATTTAGCAGATTGGCGAAAATGCTCTGCTGGTCTTGGTGTGTTGCTTATTTAAACTTTTTTTTGAGTTAGTGATGCTATATTTTACATGTATATTTTAGAAACTGCAGAAAGGTATTGGTTTGGTCACTTTATTTCACGTGCCTAGTTGTTAATTGTATGGCAGTGGGCTGCAGTATTGAGCAGACACAGCTGAAAGGTGTTAGAACAGAGGGGATGATCACAGGTGGTTTGAGTAGCTGCTGCACCTGGGTGTTCTGAAGTTACCGGGCAGATCAATCAATCTTATGCCTGGCACCTGTGAATATGGAACCACAAAAGAACTGTTTTCTTCTGAGCAGGCAGGCCATAGAACTTTCAAGTTCTTTTGAAATTTAAGTACTGCAGTTGACTTTAAAAGAGATTTGAGGTGCAGTTTTGGACAACTAAGTCACCTGAAGTTCTTCACCTGAAGACAATTAAGTCACCTGAAGCTGCTGTTTAATTGTTACACTGATTGCCCCCAGCTGAGCCTCCCAGCCTGCAGGCTGAAGGAGCTGTTCTGATGGCTGCCATGCAAGGGCCCATAAGTGAGCAAATGTAAAAGCAACTGTAATCTATCCAAACCATTTATTTCCTGTGGAGGATCCAGGCAGCAGGGATGATTGCCTGCATGCTGTGTGTATGTGCAGGCAGTATGTATCTGTGTGGTGTACAGGCACCCAAATCCATAAGAATTGCACCACGTAGGAGTTTTTATAGGAACCTGTCTGAAGTGACTTTGAGTGGATTGCAGTGGGATGCCCAGAGCAGCAATGTTGGTGTTTGCTCTTGTTGCAGCCTGTAAGATGGACACAATGACCTCCTCAAGGAGAAACGCAGGAGGGGTCAGTGTACGAAGGACAGAATCACACGATGTTCCAGACATTATCAGCCTCTTCAGCACCGGTACAGAAGGTGTTTTTGGAAGGGTTAATGTCATGTTCCTTTTGTAAGTAATAGTCTTCTAGGATATTACCTTTCTTGCAGGGAAATTCAGGCAGTTAAGTCACATTTAAAATGGCAGAAAACATTCTGAACCTGTGTCGGTGGTATCATGTGGGTTCTTGTTTGTTTGTTTTTGTTTTGATTTTTCTTGCTATTCTTGAAAAGCAATAGAAAATCTACTTCTGTCATATGCATGACTGGGCAAACCTGGGTCACTGCTGCCAGTGTGGTGGATGTGATTTAACTACACTAGTCTTTTATAAAAATTCAGAGGAAACAATGTTGGTTAACTCCTGGTGAAACCCTCAGATTCTGGTGTCTGCTCCATCTCCCAGAACATTTTCGCCTGCTGGGGAGGAACAGAAGTGGAGGAGTTTTAATTGCTGTGAGACCATAACTCTTTAATTTCTGTTCCTGTGTATGTCAATCACTTCTTCTCTTCTGTTTTCCTCTTACCCAAAGGAGTGGGTTATCTTTTGCCCCTCTGTATTCTGCTGTGGGAGGCAGTGTCTGCCTGCTGTAAAGTGTTTGAGTGTGCTGCCTCTTTCTGTGCCCCCAATACCCAAGGTTTGGTCTCTGTCTCCTGGCTGCTTGCACAGCAGTGTCCTCAGAGGAAATGAGGATTGTAGTCATACTTTTAGCCCACCTCCATCCCTGGAACCTTGTGTGCTTCCTCCTTCTGTGCAGGGATGAACAGCAGACAGTCCGTGGCAAGTGCTTATGGGTCACTTCAGGATTTTCCAACTTAATGGCAAAAGTCTTGGGTGACAGCTATTTGGGGAACAAGTAAATGTTTGAAAAAACACACAGAGAAGAGGGAGCATTTAAGTCTTGCATCTCAAAATCATGATGATTAAGGATCTGAAAAATCATATCAAGTGTTATGTTGGAACATTCTGTGTGGAACTGAAGCAATAATGTCAAGTTAAGGTGTGTGTGATGAGGTTTTGAGGCTTGATTCTGGGAACCCTTTTGAACATGGCTAATTTTACTGTTCTAGCAGGCTGAATTCTGTCAGATGCTTTTCTATTTAGAGTTTCTTCAACTTGTGCAAAATTCAATTGTTTTCATAGAGAAAAATCAAATCTTGCTTTGACCCTCTGCAATGAGAAGAATGAGGTTATAGCCCATGCTGCCTTTCTAGACTATCCAAATTGGAATATCACTGATCAGGCTGACTGGGAACCATTCCTGCGTAAAAACTACACTAACCATAAGTGCACTGTAAGTAAATTGTGTGACTTCTAGTTTTCATTTAAGGCTTAGGTGTGAAAAATACTCGTGGGCACTTAAGATCTGGTTTTGGTAGACCTGAGGCCCTTAGGCTGTGAAAGGTGATGATCTAATTCTGAATGAAACCTTTGTGTTGATGTGGACATCTCGGTGCTGCTGTGGAGACTGCTGCTCTCTGCTCTGGCAGCTTTCACACAGTCTCTTTGGGCAAGTTGATGATTTTCTCTTAAGACTTATGGGCTGGAGACAGGCCCTTAGAAGTTTAGGATTCAAATGCTGCCCATCATTCAGTCTAGCTGGGAGCTAGATCCTGAGAGAGTATGGGAAATGTGAACCCCAAGCACTTAAAAAACAGGCAGCACATGGCATAACATGGTGTTGGCAGTACTGTGGTTATGTCTAGAACGTTCAGCAGTTCTCCAGTGTGTTGAGATGGTAAGCAATGGCTTGCAGATCAAGTGACACAGCAGTTGTGTTTGAAAATGCTGGGTGCTCTTCAAAGAAAGTCGTTACAGCCCAAGGGAGTACAGAAAAAAGATGCCAAATTTCCTTGTAATGGGTTTTCTTTGTGTCTTGAGCAGCACTTTGTGCCCAGGCAAGGTGCAGGCACAGCCTCTTCATTCAGGGTGCAGCTGCTCTGGGGGTGCTGTCGGCTCTGCCTCACGCAGCCTGTTATACACGATCCAGTGCAGCAAAGCTGCAGCTGACTGCAAGTGCAGGGGCACACAGAGAGAGAAGACAGAAAAATAAATTACTGCTCATGAGTAAATAGGGGAAAGGCTTTTGAAACACTGACAGGGAGCAGTGATCTTGCTTTGCTAGAATGGAGATTGTTTTCTAAAACAGGTGCAGAAGATTCACTCTTTTTATGCTTCTGCACTGGCAGAACAACTGAACCTTTTCTAGGGTATACCTTGGTGAGATTGTTGGTTAACTGCAGGTTAAATCCTTGCAGGTGTGCTTTACAAAACTGAGATCATCTGAACAAAAGATTTCTGCAAAGTCTAACTGGCAAGTCTTTTTCCTCGGGCACAGAAATAAGATAGATCAAAGGTCTAATCTGGGAACTGACTTGTGCAGAATTGAATTAGTGGAGATGCTTTGCAGGACTGTCTGGTTACCAGTGCTATTCAGAAACAGTGACAGTCCAAGTCTGGCTTCCCGAGCCTCCTCTTGGACCTCAACAACAAAGTATTTTTTTTTCCTTTTGCTTTTGAGAAACAAACAAAAATCCTGATGTTTAGAAATGGCTGTAGGTGTTTGTTACAATAGCCTGCTGTCTTTGTGCTGGTCTGTGTACTGCAGCTTCTATTGATATCTTTCTTGCTCTGAAGTTGCTGAAGTTTATTGGTGACTCTAGCCATGACATTTTAGTTGAATAGTAAACTATTCAGAAGTCCTCAGGTTTTGCCACTTAAAATAGTCTTTGTAGAAATATTTTTTTCTACAGGTGAACCTTCACTGCCCCAGCACACTAATATACAGGAGAACAGCTGAACTAATAGCCCTTGCCACTCCAGCACAGGGGTCTTCCAGGTTAACTGGAGGCAAATAGGACAAAGGTGTCTGTTAGTCTGCCCTGTTTCTGCCTGGGTATTTAAATGTGTCTAATGATAGAGTTTTAAAATCTATAATTTTTCTTACTACCTTAAAAATATTTTAGAATTACAAGAAGTATGTGAGCTTTGTGTTTGCTTTTTAAACCTAAAAAGAATGTCGTTATCAGCCAAATGTTAAATGTTTACTTGCTAATTGTTGTGGTTAAATGTTTTTAGTCTATAGTTAATACTGCTTGTTATGAAATGTCCACTGTATACTGCCGTCAAATAATAGTAAACTGGGTGTGAAGTAAAAATTTAGCAGATACTCAAAATTATTAGAAGTACTTTTAATATCACGTAACTTTATCCACACATTTTGAAGTTATTTCATGACGCTGCTTGCTTTGAGTGCAGATCGTATACACTGGAAATAAAAATGTTTATTAATACTTGGGTTGATGTAATGAGTATTAGCTGCATGGTGTAGACTCCCCCTCCTTGTCTTGTAGCCTTTGAACACACTGTTCATGCATCTCTTTGTGGCAAAGGAAGAATACGCCGCTGGATGTTCCCGGGAAACTGTGAGGTGAGTTCCCAGGGAACTGTGTGGTGAAGCAGGTGCGCTCCTGCCATCACTTGGAGAGGCTGTGGAATTTACAAGTGCCTTAAGGTTTGCTGTGCACCTAAACGGAACATCTCTGAAGTCTCAGAAGCTGTAATACATCACCTTGTGTTAATCAGTGCACAGTGGCTCAGAAACTGAGCTGTGGCAGTTCTGAGCACACCTCTCACACCGTGTTCAGCTTTAGCTGTACCTTTGCTGGCATTGCCCACGGAAATAATACTGCACTTGCAAGGTAGATTGATTTTTCTTTTTCCTGCATTTCCACTTGTAAAAACCAAAGCATGTGAGTGAGCAGGAAGCTTAGAAAGCTGTAGATCTTTATGGGATACACGTGTTCCCAGATAACTTACTGCTAGTTTGTTAGCTGCAGATGAGGTGATGAGGCTGCAGACTACAGTACAAGCACAAATATTGCTGTGTTAGCTCAGGTTATTTGGTGTAACCCGGAGTCTGCTGCATAAACAGTGAGCTGCACTTGGTGCTGCTGTTGAATTGACAGTTTGTCACATCAGGTCAGCTCATCCAGATGCCAGGTCAGATCTGCCAGCAGAGCTCTGGCATCTTTAATGGTTCACCAATGGGGAACTGATATAAAAAGGAAGATAGTTGAAATCTAGGGATTAGGAAATTAGAGAGAAATAAGGTGGGGAAAAAAAAAAACAGTGAAAAATGCCCAGATGAATTTTATTTTATCAGAAATGTTTTAATTTTTGAGCCATGTGGACTCATGAAGGAAGATTAAAGACATGGGAGAGAAAAAAAGATGTATATTAAAAGACTAGCTGCTGTCTGTTATTGATGGGTGTAATGATGAAAGACTGAATAAATTTGTCATTTGTCTAGGAGAGCTTTCATCTTACTACCAGAACTGCAGTTTATCCTTCTCTTCATACCAGCTGAGGAAAATTTAGGTAGGAATTTATTACAATATCATTAACAGACACTGAGTTTTGTGGGTTTTTTTTTGTTTCTTTTTTTGGGTTTGGTTTTTGTTGTTTTTGTTTTGGTTTCTGGTTTTGGTTTTGTTCTTGTTGTTTGTTGGTGTTTGTTTTTGTTTTTTTTTTATGTTGAGAACACTTTCTAACCATGTGGAAAACACAGTCTGAAAGTATCTTCCTGTGAAGATCCCTTGTGCAGGAGGTATCTCTGTTTCTGTGCTCACTCCAGCAGCCATTCAGCAGTCTGTCCATTTCTTGCAGTCTTTAAATTTGTCCCAAACAGACAGGACATCACACAGGATTAAGATCAATTCCTGCAAGCTCTGTGACCTAAATAATAGTATTTTCATAAAGATTTAATTCTACCAATTTGATTGCTCTGAAGGTTCTTCAGGTTTGGAATGCTGGATTAATTAGATGGCTCCATTGACAATTCTCTCACATGTTTATAGTGCTGTCCATTTAGCCCCATTGCTTGACTTAAACCACGGATGGCAAAGTGCTCCAAGCCTCAAGTTTGAAATTGTTTGCTCAAACAGTTCTGCTGATGACTTTTAAAGCTTGCATAATGAATTTTCTCTGCCTCTGACGGGTGTTTGTCATCCACAGAGCCAGGCATGAGGGGTGTCTTTGCAGTGATGCCTCCTGCTCCAGCATCGGCAGTGGGTATAAAGTTTACCCTGCTCGTGTGCCCCAGGCACCGGTGCCACCCACGGCTGCACGTGCGCCAGGCGAGGTAATGCCACTGCTGTGTGAGATCAGTGTGCTCTCCTGCTTCAGCTGCTCTGGTTTCCTGTCAGCCCAAGGAGTTCTACTTCATCGCAAGATCAATTGTACTTCTTATAAAATTAGTTTGCTGGGTAGAAAGATTTTTTTTTGGTGATGTTTGTTCTGTGATGAGCTGGAGATGCAGTGCATGCAGTTTTCAGGTTTCTTGAAGCCTCTTCCAACTTAGTTTTGATTTTAATTTTCTCTTATACCATATGCTGAAGAGTTGAGCAAAGCCTGATAGGAAGGCATGTTATCTGAAAGAGTTAAATAAGAGCAGAGAAACCCTAATTCCAGTAGTCATTTAGACATGAAGAGTAATTCTCTTCCAGGTTTTTTTCTGTGGAATTGCTCTATACCTAAATGTAGGTGTTGCTTTGTGGCTGTGTAACAGAGTTGTGATTAAACGAGCATTTCTGGTGGCTGTATGGGAAGTGAAGCCTAGGGACGAGTGCATTGCTGGGGCACTATCACACGTGGATATGGGGGGGTCAGTACTGGTAATCCCACACTAGGCATAGCTCATATCTCTGCCTGGTAAAGCCACACCTGTTTGTTTATGGGCTGGTTCATGCTGCCAGCTCAGGCTGGGTTCTGACAAACACGTCAGATGTTTATTGCACATAGTTAGCTTTATGAAATGGTTCTGAGAAACCTGCAGCTTGTGCTCCTCTAGTTGATATATGCTATAGTTTAAGTTCATGCTCATGATATCCTGTTGCTTGACTTCTGAGTAGTTAAAGAAAAAAGCCTGGCCTTTGCCACTTAGCAGCATCCTGCTGTAGCTTTGGACATTTCAGCGTTACAAAGCTTTTCGTGCTCTGTAACACTGTACAGCTGTCAGGTTTCTGAGTGCTTCCTTTGAATTGTCCAACACCAATCAGTGAGTGGATCTCAATACTCAGAACGTGTCAGTAGGGGAATTAATTCCTAGGGGTTTAAAATCTTTCTATGTGTCTTGATTCCAAGTATATTTGTTTAAACTGTATTTTCTTTTAATGACCATTGGATACTGTCAATGGAATATGACTTTTACTTGACTGAAACTGTTACTTAGGCTATACCAATATTCCTGATTAGAGACACCATCTTTTCTGGCATTTCTGTAGTTTGTTACAAATACTGAACTACTTTAGGTTTTTTATTATTAGAAAACTATGTAGAAAACTGTTTTTCCTCTTAAATTACACCAGTACCTGGTGATATTCATACTTCAGTATTTGTCCATCAGTAGCTTCTGGGTAAGCTAATTTGTGTCTGCAGAATATGCTCTGCCTTTCCTTTCCCTCTGCATTTGCCTCTGTGCTTGGCTGGCATCCATAGTAACGGCCAATGGAGCCCTTGGAGACTCATCTGAGAGAGCTGTCCCCAGCCACCTGCCTAGCAACATGTTCTGGGGGAGGGAGAGGAGATTAGGGTAATCTCTGTTCCCTCTTCCCTTACTTATGAAGGGGGGGGAAAGCAGCTGTAAAGTGATACCTTGCTTAACCATCAGTTTTGGAGTTACTCTCTGCATCTGGCTTTTATACTGTGAGATGGATTGGTTGTGTGCACCAGAACTCAGTGCACTAAGTTTTGATATTTAAGGTCCTTGCTGATATCCTGTCTAGATCCTGTCATTCTTGGGTTTGTACCCTGTGTGAGTCACAGATTTGCAGCTCACTGCTTGTGCTTGCGGTAGAGTTTTTCTGTACTTTATGTTGGTAAGCTACTGATTTTCAGAGGGTTTTTTTAGCTTTTTTTAAGACTATGTTACTGGTAAAAGATATTAAAAAAATAGGAAAAAAATGAAAACAGTTTTGTTTCTACAGTTAATGTGCAGGGACATGAGTGGGCTTATGTGGAACCCCACTGACTGTCATGGGGCCAGTCTCTAGGAATTGCCATCTGCACCTTGGAGCGTCACCTCGTGCTGTGTGGAGCAGAATGCCGTGTGGGGTCTTGGAGCACTTGGCACAGTGTTCCCTTTATGGGACTTGTGTGTCTATTATCCACCCCACAAACAGATACAGTCTCATTCTGTTATCCCTACATTAGTTTAGGTTTTTGAAGTTTAATAGCTCATCAGCAGATTTGCCCCACTAATTATTTGTGTTGCAGTAGTGAAGTTCTGATCTTGCTCAGAGGTCACTTCCATTCTGGTGTGTAGGAGCAGCAAAACCATCCAGAGAGCACATGGATTATCCTTGCATCCTGCACTGGAGTCAGGCAATGCCTGGGAATTCAGATCCTGTTTGATACAATGAGAAATAGAATCTTTTTTGCCCACTTATGTTAACTTTAGGGCTCCTTCTAAACCCATAAATTGGCAGTGAGAATCTGTTTATTCAGTGTTTCTGGGTAGCTGCGTGGAACGGTCATCTCCAAATTGCAGGTGTTTGGATACAGGCACTTCCTTCCGTGGGCACCGGGAATCTGGAGCAAAACACGAGGGAAGCGCCGGTAGCCGTTCCCTGGCTCTCGCTGCAGGAGCAGGTTTGTGCTTCCCTAAGGAGCGAGGAAAGCGCCGGTAGCCGCTCCCAGCCCGGTTCCGCAGTGCCTGGCCGTGCCGCGCGGGGGCGGCAGAGACCGCGGGGACCCGCGGTCGGGACGGGCTGGCGTGGAGCGATCCCGGCTGCATTCCACGGATGCTGCTTTTGGTGCAGAGCTGTTGGTTGCACCGCTTAATTCCAGTGTTTTTCTGAGAGGTACATACAGGTGACTTCATGTTGTTGACAGCAGTTCTGTTGGAGCTGGTTTGCCGTCAGGTTTCATGCCATGGTCCCAGGATGTGTGACTGATGAATTGTCACTGCTTTGGTAAAAGCACCGTGACTCCTTCAGACTTACATCGGTCCCATCTAGGAATAGCAGTTTAATGGGAAAGAGTCTGTGACTGTTTAACTAAAAATGCATGCAGTTTGGGGGTCTGTGTGAGGGTACCACCACACCTTGGGGCAGCCAGGTGCTGTCAGGGAGAGCAGGCTGGAGCAGCAGAGCAGGTGAAGCCTGGCTGGCAGGTGCCCACCTCCTCAGAGCCTTTCCTGAGGCAGAGGGATGTGAGAATAGCACTTCAGCCTTTCTATCTCTTTCAGTGGTGGAGCTTCAACTTGACCTTACAAAAGCACAGTGGCTCTGTGTGCTGGGTGACTTGGCACTGCTGTGGGTAATAAACCAAGCCACTGCTCAGCACTGTGTTCCTGTACACCAAGGCACTGTTTTCTTCCTTGGTGTTTTTGAGAATAGATTTGCTGAATTGCAGTGATGTACCTTTTTGAGATCTCTGCCAAGTCCAACCACCCCATGATTTGTCTCAGTAAACACAATTATTTTAAATGAGGCCTAAGGCCCTGGGCTGAGATGCCTTAGGCAGGAGAACTTTGAAGTGAGCTTCCCTTGTATTTTGTTAGGGAAAGAAAAGTATCTGCACTGGGCAATCCAAGTCTTAGTTGGGTTGTGCTGCCTCTTGGGAGTGGTTCTGTTTCTCCTCTGGTGCTGAGACTCCCACTTTAGTGTGCTTTGGGGATATGTCTTAGGTGAAATTACTTGTGGGTGCAGGCCTTGGAACAGGTATTTATAATATTTCTCTATATGTTAATGGAGTAGAAGAGAAGCATCAGAACCTATTAATGGCAGAGCTGTACGACATAACCTCATCTCTTTTTTGTAGGTTGGAAGATTATGATGATCTCATGCCAATCTGGACACATCAAAGTAAGACTTTGAAAAAGACCTTTGGTGAATATCTCCTTGTTGACCTCATGGAACATCAAGATGAAGAAAATAAGGCAGCTGTTTGTGAGGTCAGTCTGCCATGAGCTCTGGTTTTCTCTGATGTTAGTGATGTCATGAGTGGCAGCTCATTTCTAGCTCTGGGAATGGAATCAGCATCTCACCTGTGAAAGGTAGATGATCTGCACCCACATGGTGCCCTTCGCAGTGTAGGTGGTGTCTGTCTTTAGCAGTGATACCTCCAGTTTAGAAATGAAGTAGCAATTCCTCGTTCTTATGCGGATTCTTTTAAGCAATTGGGACCACTTCACTGTCATGTAGTAACCATGTGGCCACAGTTGCATCATAGGTGACCTGTCTTCACTCCCAGAGGAAATGAGTAGCCAGTAATCCTTTCACAGTTTAAAATGCTGTAGGTTTTTTCCATCTCCTGGCTCACACAGATTTTTTCTGAATTGAAGACAGAAACTCAGGAATTAATTTAAATAAGACAGAGGTGGTAATAATTATCCTGCTAAAAATTCCTGTCAAGATTTTCCTGTGTTAGTAATTGTGCATGGTATTGCAAGGTGATAAGCAACATAACCTCCTTAATTCCTGAAGCCTGTTTTCTGTGGCAAATGGTTTTATAAAACTGCAACATGTAATCATTGCCATTGGGAGCCAAATGGGAAACAATACACCATTAGTGTAATGGCACATTGCAAAGGGCTATTGCTGTAAATAATACATTTCAGTTGCATGTTCAGAGCTCCATGTGAGACCAGCACAAGGTGTTTCAGGCCCTCAGAGTTTGTCCTCGCTGGTACCACGGATTGGGAAGGCGCCTCCGTGCAAACCACGATGGATGCCAATTTTCCCTGCGGAGAATGAAGCTGGCAGCCTCTTTTTGCACATATGGTAGATGGATTGGTTAATCAGCCTCTGCTGAGCCTTGGGCCTGAAATTACATAGCAGCCAGGCAACTGTGGTGCCCCAGCTTTGTCGGTTACACAAACAAGGCAAACAAACAATCACTTGTTGTTTGAGGGCAGAAAAATTAAACTCATACTTTTTTAGGTCTTTATTGGAGTGCTGATGGCCTGATAAAACAGCTCTACAAAAGCAGCCTTTGAATTTTCATTAGGTTTATAAAGGCTTTCATTATGTGCATTAAGGTGGAAAGAAAATATATTTTGATAATGCGTGTTTCACCAGATAATTGTGTACAGTACTAAAAATTGAAGAGCTTCCTTCTAGACTTGTGTCAACTTAAACGCAGAAACCCCCCAGCAGGCTAGTTCTCTCTGCTCAGAGGGTCTTGCTGAGCACTGCAGCCTGCTGAGAACTCCAGCAGCAGTCAGACACCCGCAGCACTGTGGCTTTCAGCACTGCAGGGGTTCTGCCGCTTTCACATTTGCCAGAGATGTTTGTTTTGGAGACCAGCTCTGGGAGTCTTTTGGAACTCCCAAATATTTAGCACTTGTAATTGCTGCAAATAATGCACACCACGTGCTGTGTTAGGTACCAATTATATAATATAGAATTGCTTTCTTGAGTGAATAACCTTACAGGATAATAAAATACACTTCTCAGTTTGTGCACCATCTTAGCTAGAAAGCAATGTCCAGAAATGTCACCCGTTACAGCTGGCTGCATCCAGGTTTTAGTTCAGCTTGCTGTAACTTAAAGCCAAATGATGCCTTTTCAGAGGTATATTTTTTATTTACTGTAACAAATGCTTTACTAAAACAATAGGTCACTGTTTGGTCCATATATATAAACCTAATGCTCTTGCAAGTCATAGCTAATGGAAGACTTGGAAATCCTCAGATGTTCTAATACACACATTACAAGGAAAAAATAGGAGCATCTTTAGATTTTGTAGAAATAGTTCCTTTGCACTTTTTCATTATGCACAGTCAGAGATGGAATGCTAGCATTTGTTTCACAAGTTTTTTGTTCAATTTTTTTTGTCTTGACCTAAAATCAGACTCATTTGTGATGTGGCTCTTATATTTCAGGTTGATGGTACTGCAGTAGGATTCATGAGCTTATGTTCTCAAGTGAATGTTTCCTTGTTTCAAGAGTGTTTTGACTTAGGGCCTTTCCATGGACTCTGTAAACAACATGCTGAAGATGTTCTCCAAGTGCCACGGAAGCCAAGCGTTCAAGAAGGTATCTGTATTCTAAAGTCTAGATAGATTCAAGGTGTGTTAGTGTCAAGCTTCTGAGCAGGCTGTGCAGGAGGTCAGAAAAGGGTATGGGTTTACTAACAAGAAAACACAAATTGCCCTCTCTGTCTTGGAGCAGGTTGCCTGGGGTTTTTTAATTTAAGAGGGGAGTTTTGATAACTTATCTTGGACTCAGGAGCAATTGTTGTTAGTGGGGAGCCAGCCTGTAGATACAGTTGTGCTGTTAAATGAAGATCACATTTTGAAGTCTGGTGGTGTGTGTCTGTCAGCAGCCGAGCAGCTGGTTAACCATGCCTGGTATGTTGTCTTCTCGACTCACCTTATTTCCTTGTGGTTCAGCTTCTGCTGTCTTTGCTTATTGTTGGCAGTCTCCAGGGTTACAAGATTTTGGGAGATCAGGGACTGTCTCTTGATTCCACTCTTATATACAGCAACACATCTACAGCCACCTTACTGCAAGTGAAAAAAACCATGCCTATGTCACCTGTTTGTACAACAGAAGTGTCACGTAAATAATTTACAGTTGTCATCTTTATTTTTCAGTGTCAAAGGGCTTTTTGTGCAGAAGGGCAATGTTTTGCTGCCTGCTAATTATCAGTAATGGAATAAAAAACCCCCACCATTAGGTTATGTATCTGCTTGTCTGAACACAGAACAGCAGGCAAAAAAAGGCAACCAGGGACCTGCAAGGCTGTTGCCAGCTGGTATCTCAGAGCTGGCAGTCACGGAACAGAAAAGGGAGAGGGAAGGTCTTGAAACTACTCCTGTGGACTCCCCTCCCCTGCAAAGAAGCATCATGCACATAGGGGATGGAGGAAGCTGCCTGCCTCCTCCTGTACCATCCTGTGCTCCTGCAGCTTAAGGAGTATCAGCTCAGGAGAGGTGACAGATATAGGAACAGAAATGAGACTGAGGAGGAACAGAGATCACTCATGAGTTGGAGCAGTTGTTGTGTTCAGGTTCTGAGTGGTTTTTCAAGAATTCCTAAAGCAGCATGGTTAGCAGTCCTGTGTTTATCTCTTTCCTCTCCATTTAAAAACTAGGTTAGTTTTGATGAATGATGCTGGTTTACAATGCTGTGGATTGCCTTCAGGTAAGACCTTGGTAAGACCCCTTTCTTTGGAATGACAGCTCTGGGGAAAAAGCTCTACTTATAGACTTCAAAGTAGCTTGAGTTCAAATCATTAATGATCTCAGACACCTGGGAAGAAACTTGAATATCATAAGCTGAGAACCTGGCTCTGGTGCTATTTCTGGAGAGAGCAAGTAGAAATTTAATAGTAAAACTTGCTGTATACTGCTCAGGAACATTAATTCTGTTATCACTGAATGGTAATTAAAATGATTGTTGTAGCTTTGCACACTTTAGAATGTAAACAATTATAAGATTAATATGTGTTGGTGTCTGCTACACCATAAGTTGCTGTTTATACCTGCCAAACAGTGTGACCAAAAGGAGAGTTAAAACTAAAGGCTTTGGCAGTTGAATTTCAGGGAAAGGAAAAAGGAAACAAATCAAATACATACTACTGTTAGTTGAATTTCTGATACCCATTCAATAAGGCAGCGGCTTGGCACAAGAAGTCCGTTAGGGCTTATTGAGAATATATGCCTTTTAGGATGGCTACTAGATAAGCAGCTTTTGGTTTTGCTGCTTGTTACCTTTTTGATTTATGGCTATAAAATAAAAGTCTGTATTTTTCAAACAGTTTGAACTCTTTGCCTCTGATCTAGGTTGCATTATTACATGACCTGTGACTTAAAATTCATTTCAATATTCATTCATGAAAACTCCCTGGAAAAATGGTAACTTTTTTTTTTCTTTTAAATTAAGAATAGAAAGAAAAAAGCCCCCTATTTTAGTAACTAAGTTTACTGTAAAAAAAAAAAATACTGACCAACTAATAAGCACCATTCCCCTCCTCTGACTTCTTAATTCTCTCTTCAAATTACACCTTCAATGAAATCATCTTGTTTGGAGTGGGTTGGGTTTTTCTGTAACTGCAGAGCCACAGAAGAATTGCATCCCAGTAGTCTATTGTTAAGCCTCTCTGACACAAGGGCTGGTTTGTCTTTGGAGTTTGTTGCAGAGTCAGTTCTGTACAGCTGGTTTGTATTGCAAACCCACGGCTGATTCCATGAGGCTGTTTTGGTGAGTGCAGTGTATCTGCAGACCACTGCATCGAAAACTTGCTGCCAGATTGTCCCCTGCTGTGAAGGCAGTGGAGGTTCGTTGACCTGACATACATAGAGGATCTGGACTTTACTTTATTGAATCCAAAGCTGGGAATTTTAAATGCAAACTGCGTTCCTTTGTACAGTAATTTTTATGTTTCCACATTTTAAAAGGATATTTTTTTCAAGCTCTTTAGCTTTTAAGTAGAGACCGCAGGTTGATACTATTTTTCCTTTCAGAATGTAATGCTGAATAATAATGGCAGAGTATACAGCAGTCTGTACTGATATGCCACTTAGGTTTCAGGGTAATTACAGTAATTTGGTTGTTACTCTATATGGCGTCATGAATTAGTTGCTAGAAAACACGATGCAGCGCGAATGATTCAAGGGCTTTTCATCAGGCTTCATGGTGAACTGACTTCTTGATCCTGCTGACTGTACCTCAGCTAACAGCCCAGCAATCACAGGATTATTTTAATTTTCTCTTTATTTGTGGTCCTTACTGGATTTTGTGTGACAGCATTGCTGCTCTTCCCAGACACTCGTGTGCAGCGTGTGTGCAAACAGCGATGCAGCCGTGTCTGACAGGAGTGGATGCTGGAGCCATTCAAGATTTGCATTTTAGTGTAAAGGCAGAAACAACATATCAATATTTACATGACAACAAGAGACTTGTATTAATTAACTTCTGACACCTGCAAGGCTGTTTGTAATGAGAAATGGAGCTGGTTAATCAAGATGACATTTGATAATTTCTGTGAAGGCTCACATCTGTGATACCCCAGAGAATCCATGGCTCCCACCCCCCCGTGTTGCTCCTTGCCCTGCATGTTGCATCTGCACTCTTTTTTATTGACAGGAACAGATTTTCAGATAACAGCATTTTTTTAATAAATGCTTTTTGCTAAATTATTTTAAACCTTTGAGGTACTTTAAAAAAAAAAAAAAGGAAGAAATGTGCCCATTACTGTATGAAGAAATGCTTCTGTCTGTGAATGTAGCTGAGGTGGGTGTCCCAAGGCAAAGTTCAGAGAGAGGAGTGAAGAATTCTCTTTTCTGAAAACTTTCTTTATTCTTCCTGGAGCACAGAAACTGATTTGTGTTCTTGGACCTTTTAAATGCAAGGATGTCCTTGCCCGGTGTGTTTTTCGCAGCAGTGATACCTACACCTCAAGAGCTTATTATTTAAAACTCAGTAGCAGACTTTATTTTTAAATATAAACCCAAACTCTGAATGTATCAGTAAAACTAATGAGGTGGCAACTTTAGGAATAGCAGAACTGCTACTGGTAGGTTCAGGGACTGAAAAGACAACAGCTGACCCTTGGCTTTGATAACTTTGGTGGGTATTTGGAGCAATATGTAGGGTTCCCTGCTATTTCAATATTTCTTTTCCAAGTTGACGATTAAAGTAATTTTGGTCCATCACATTAAATGTGACCTTTAGGATGCATTATCAGATGATTTCTTGTTCTGGATACCATCCTCTCACACTGTAGAGACATAATCCTTCAACACATGGGCTTGGGAACTGCTTTCTCTGGAGTGTGTGACTTCTCTTGCATCACTTTTATTCCTTTTCACATTGCTGATATCTACAAGCTTACCAAAACCTGGGGTCTTTACTCCCGTGGGAGTTCCTCATGTGTCCAAAGCAGGTGTCTGGTTTTTGGCCAAATGATCATATACATACACAAAATTGCAATGGCTCACCAAGTGCTTTCAAGCAGTTCCTTCAGCATCCAAGGAGAGTGGCACAGGAGAGAAGTTCTTAGAGGAAAAGAAGGAAATAGACAAAGAGCAACAACTTCTACAAGAAGTAAAACAGGATTTAAAGGACTGATTAGGCTTAGCAATTGAGAAGCAAACTTAGTTCCTGTATCTTGTCCCTCTTTGCACCAGTAAGAGTTCTGACTCGACTAGGTCTTAATCTGCATTTCAGTTCTTTTAGGGGAACTAATGGGAGAATGAAGAGCCTTTGCTTGTCCTTGTGATCATGAGGAAACAAGATAGTGAAGTGTGGGGTTTAAGAGACCAATCAGTACACTGACTCCTGTTATTTCAGCTCAGATAGGATAAAAATTTGATGTATAATACATGATTTAAGAACTACATCAAAACTGTCTTGTTTAGGTCTTATTTTACAACTAATCCCCTTGGGGTGTTTTTGCTTAGAAATGGAATGGTCTAATGAAGTTCCAGGCAAGTAGCTATAGGAGGGGCTGTGTTAACTGTGGTTAATAAAAATATATCTCTTGATAGAGGTAGCCTTGCCTGTTCCAGCTATTGCTGTAGTTCTGAGGGTTAAACTCACTTTATTAAGCCTTATGCACTTAGTCTTTTTTTCTTTACTCAGGTGAAGATGAAAGCAACCAAACGAGTCAGAAACCAGAGCCTGTTTCGTGTGGGGACTTGGAATGTGTTCCTGGTCAAGATGCAGCTGTGCAGGTGATGCTGCTGTGCTCAGCAGTGCTAATCCCTCCTGGAGCTGACACGGAGCAAGGCTGGCAGAGATAAGGACAAGCAGCACTGCTGATTTCCTGTCCCCTGCATGGGCCCACACGTGTGCCTGCTGTGGAACCTGGATCAGAGTCTGCTCTGCCTGGGGTCTGGAGGGAGATGGGCAGAGTTAGTGGTTGGGTGAACTTTCCCATCCAGTTGCTCCTAAGCAGCCAGGCAGCACAGGGATGGGACTAGAGGGTCCCTGAGAGGAGAGACAGCACGGGGACCTTAACTAACAGAAACACTTTCTGAAATGTTGTAAGTAATTCTGTTTTGTTCCTGTTGCAGGAAGATGTGGCTATGACTGTTTCCCCGACTGAGCTGCCATTGGATGATGGCAGCACCACAGATTCCAAAGCCTCAGAGACATGTCCCTTTGAGAATAAGGAGGAAGGAGATTTTCGTCCACTGTACAGAGGAGCTCCTAATGCCTTCTGTATCCGTCTGTTATGTATTGATGAGGCTTATGAAACCAGGTGAGCATGAACAGCCTGTTACCCCGCTGATAACCATTTGCCAGGTTACATTTTTAGAACAAATCAGCAAGCGGCAGCACCTGCTGCAGTTGGGTGGGAGTTGTTCTGACCCCCTTTTTTTTTCCTGTTTCTTTTACTTTCAGTAGTAACTTTTCAACCTCCAGCTGTAACTTCTCATCTCTGATAGGCCTGTGGGGACAAAAAGAGAGGGATTCATTTTTTGTTGGAAAAAAATGTTAGTTGAAGTTATGGAAGAAGGTGCCTTCTTCCCTGAAGAAACACTAATTCCAAAGCTGACTAGCTGTGAGGGGAGCCAAAGGTCACAGTACTAGTTATGTCCCTGGGGAGGGCAATAGAGCTGGTTTTAGCTTTGCAAGTCATTCTAAACACTCAGTCTCCCATCACTGAGAGGAACTGATTCCATATTCTAGGATCCACTACAGTGGGGCAAAGGGTTTTTCTTTTAAGATGATTGATGCTGCCCTTGGACTTTAAGATCCTGGTGGATTTGAACAGGGCTGGAAAAGGGGTATAGACACTTATTTCCCAAATTTCTCTGTACACTTGGAAAGCAAACCTATATTCAATCACATCAGCAGAAGCTTCTTCAGGAACTTTGTCTCTTTCTGATCATAAACGAGCCATGGTCTTTTTAGACATCATATAAAGGCATATTTTTTGCCCCCTTCTGACCCTCTGTATTTTGTATCTACCATTGTTTCTGTTCTCACTGCATTTATCATTCAGTGCTGTGATCCCAGTCTCTTTTCCCTGGAGACATCTCTGGAACAGTGTGGATTCCAAGATGGGTATCTAGAGAAGATAACATTCCTGTCTGAGCACTTCTCCTAAGATTAAGTCCTGCAAGATCCTTTCCTCACAGCTGAGCAATCTGTGGATCTGTTCTCAAATATTTTGCTTGTATGCTTCCCTGCCTTGCATTTGCTTGGTCCTTCTGCTTGTACAAGAAACACTAGCAAAGCAAATATGTGTAAAAGAGGGCAGGAAGTAATCCTGCCTACAGCTTGGAATCTTGTCCCAAGGTTGCTTCTGCTGGCCCTGCAGAGCATGGGCCCAGAAACAGGGGTTGGGTTGAAATGTAGGTGTGATTGCATCTTAACCCTGAGGGAAGTTTGTTCCTGGGGAACTGTTACCCAGTAAAGCTGCTAAATGTTTCCATCTTCTAAATCCGGAGGTGTTCTGTGCACTTTGTTAGTGCACTGAGAGTGAAATGCAAGGAACTGAACTGCTGGTTTATCTGCAGACATTTAATACCTTTCTAAGCCCCCTGAAAAGTCTTACACCTCCATTCTTGTGGTCCTTGCTGCCAGGAAGGTACTGGATACCAGAGAGAGAAAATACCTTGCAGTGGTATTTTCCTTTCCCCTGCTTAGCTATTCTATTAACTACTTTAAAGATGTATTATATGGGTGAATATATAATACCCCAATCCTGATCTGTACTTACAGCTTGGTTCTAAGTTTTCATTCAAACATAGATATTACAATTAGAAATTTTCTCTTTTCAGTTAGATTACTGAGGTAGTTAAAGGGAACTTAATTACAGGTCTTGGGAAAGGGATTTATCAGTGTTTTTAGGTAATGTCTCTATACTGAACTTCTTCAAAAGATTTTACACAATGGAAAACTATTTTATAAAGCTTCATCTTAACTTTGGGCTTAGAGCTCTTTATCCTTATACATGGGAGAAACAGGAAGGATTTGCTAGTTTCTCGCTCATACAGTTTAAACTGAGATGTCACAATTTGCTGTCACCATGGAGAAGAGAGTGGGATTGCTCTATGTCAGTAGGTGAGAAGTGGAAAGAAGTGTTCAAAAACAATTCAAAGTATTGATGTTCCTGTTAGTCTGCTAAAGCACATCTGTCAGGTTTTCCTGAGTGGAAAGTCACAGAGCTATTGCTACTCTGGCTATTGTGGAATAGAACGACGACTGTTGTAACCTCAGTGTCTGCTGTATACTAATGCTGCTGTGACAGTCCAGGAAGGGCTTCTAAAAGCTTGGAGTCAACAGGATGAGAGCCAATGTTGGTTTGGGTTTTATTTCCCCCTTTCAGTGAAGAGCCTCTTGTTTTGGTATTATGTCAAACCTTCTGGTTATTGTTGTTAATAGAATCATAGAATCATAGAATC